ACCTTTTCTGAACCTTTTCCAATTCCAATATATCTTTTTTGAGATGAGGCAACCACATCTGGACACAGTATTCAAGATGTGTGCGTACCATGGATTTATATAGAGGCAATACGATATATCTGTCTTATTATCTATCCCTTTCTTAATGATGCCCAGCATTCTGTTTGCTTTTTTTGACTGCCGCTGCACATTTAGTGGATGTTTTTAGAGAAATATCCACAATGACTCCAAAATCTCTTTCTTCAGTGGTAACATCTAATTCAGACCCCATCATTTTATATGTATAGTTGGGGTTATGTTTTCCAATGTGCATTACTTCACATTTATCAACATTGACTTTCATCTGCCATTTTGTTGCCCAGTCACCCAGTTTTGAGAGATCCTTTCGTAGGTCTTCACAGTCTGCCTGGGACTTATCTTCAGTTGGTACAATGATGCAACCATAATTTCAACACAGTTCTGGTTACCAGATTTATGGCTTGCACAAGATCATTGTTACCTTTAACACACTCTCACTGGCTAAGTTTGACTTGTTTACTTCTTTAGTTTCTGTGGCAGAGTAAGTAGTGATTGCAATTCTTGGCTTGGTATTAAGCTTACCCAGATAATGATCAGTTATTTTCAGTGTATTATATTAAAAAAAAACTATTAAAATTCACAAGCTTACAAGTCCTGGTGGGAGTAAGAATTGATTGTCAGTTAAAATTGATTTCTGCAAATCCTACTTATCCTAAACTACACCAGACTCCCTAATCCCCACACCCCACACAAATGGAGTGGATGACAATTTGATAGTGCTTGGTTGTAGTCACAGAGCAGTGTTCATCAGTGATGCAGAATGTTATTTCACTGGAAAAGAAGAAACAAAGAAAAGCAGTCACAATGTGGTGTTCCATGGCAAAAATGGACCAGTCCTGCAAACCCACATTTGAGTTTATATTTATAGGAACAGGGGCTACGTACTTTGTAATTCAGAGTAGGACAAAGTAGTTTAGAAAGATATTTAGTTTCTGGTTTTTAAGATGGTATTACAAATATTACGAACAACGAGGAGTACAACAATTAAAAGTAAAAATGATTTAAAATGTGTAGCTGTCCTTATTAAAAAAATTATGACAATAGATTCCAATCTTGTTTCCATAGTCGAAAAACCAACATAATGCTATAAACTGTAGTGTTTTAGACCATTATGATAGAATGCTATTGAATTATTAAGGGTATAGAGTGTGCTTAATTAAATAGAGACAATGTAGCTAAAATTTTTGACTCTCTTCATCCATGTGAAAATCAACTCTGCTGCAGAAATATGCAATTCAGATATGTGGCAAATACTGGAACAGTCCTGGGGGGATGGTATGAAAACTTCTAATTTACTGACATGCATTTCTGATCCTCTCTGATTCTAAGTACAATGGTATAGGTCTGATCCAAAGCCTGCTACTTTTAATTTACTTCAAAAACTTCTGAATCGGCCCCTATAGGACCCAACTGTATGGGTCCACAAGCTGACAATGAATCAAGTGATATTGATTTAATCTATGTGTATTAATGCATACCTATACAAATAGGAAAGACTGCATAATAAATGTAGAAATATTATATTTCTGAATTCTAAAGAACCTATCATTGATAGTGGAAGATAATATTACAAGTATATCTTCTGTCTTATCTATCAAATTTATTTGCCCATCTATCCTAAATATGTTGGGTCAGATCCTGTGTCCCACTAATGTGTTTTAATTTTGCCAGTGGCAGATCTAATAGCTATCCTAATTGAGCTGATCAGGGTTCCTTGGGTGTGGTCAAATTCACCACTGGTTTAAAGGTACAGTGACTGGTTCTACAGCAAGATTGTCCCAACCTCATTAACATAGGAGTGTTTGGGGAGTGAGAGATGCATTCTGAGTGTGGCTGGAGCATATCTGTGGAACGTGTGGTGAGAGTGATCAATGTCTACTGAGTGAGAGTGCTCAGAGTTACCTGCTTCTACGAAGAACATAGCTTTGTAGGGAGTTGCTAACTCAGTTGATCTCTCTCTCTCTCTCATATTGCAAGTAAGCTGATGGTGATTTGGTGGACTTGTGGGGGTTACTCTGGGAATTGCTCAGAGTGGGTTTGATGGAGGGGATGAGGTAATGCAGATATGCATGCGCTGCTCAGCAGTGAGTGGTGCTGCCAGCACCATAATGATAGCAGCAACTCTGCTTCTGAGGCATCTGAAGGACTTTGAGGTGCCTATAGGGCAGCAGTTGTTACCAAATCTCACCTGTATCCTCCAAGCCCTCATGCAGCACAGGCTTGCTATAATATACATTTGTGAATGTGGCAGCTCTGTAAAATTGGGCCATATACAGCCATGGGAGGGCCATTTATTAATTCTTAGAAATGGCCTTAAAGAAGGCCAGAAGGGACCATTATGATCATCCAGTCAGACCTTCAGCATAACAACCTCACCTCACCCAGTAATTTCTGCATCAAATCCATAAATTCTGTTTGAGTATAGCATGTCTTTTAGAAAGACGTCCAGTCTTGATCTAAGTACTTCAAATGATGGAGAATCTACCACATCCCTAGGTAAATTGTTCCTATGGTTAATTGGAGAAAGTGGGACAAATTTATTAGTGCAGTTGTATGACAGGGTTGCTTGTGATGGTAGGAGGCAGGGCTCAACAGCCCTGGGGATCACTTCAGGTTCATGTCTTGTGTTCCTAAAGCTCATGGTTCAGAGTTTCAGCAGGCCACTGGCAGAAGTCAAGAAGAGATTCTCCCATCTCCCCCAAGGTATTCTGGGAGAGTTTTTTTTTTAAAATCCCCTTCCACAGCTGGAGATGGGGAAATTGGGTGGGGTGGGCCAGGGCTTTGTCTCTCAGTTGCTTGGCTGGCTGGTTATTGCTCACAGTCTCAGGGTCTAACTGATTGTCATATGTGGGGTCAGGAAAGAACTTTCCCCAGGTCAGTTGGCAGTGACCTTGTGGGACAGGGTATTTCACCTTCCTCTGCAGCATATGGATGTGGGTCACTTGCCAGGATTATCTGGATATTTTTTACTTAATCATTTCCCTGCTATTGCAGGGGCCTCAAGCACTGGTGCATCTCAAACCCTCCTATTTTCTGCCTGTGCCATATAACAGTCTAGTCTCCTGTGGGCTCTAATACTTTGAACTTGTTTCGATTGTTGGGTTTCATGTGTAGCTGTTGGGTGGTGTTGGTGGCCTGTGATATACAAGAGGCCAGACTAGACTATCTAGTAGTTCCTTGTAATAGAGTATACAGACCCCACACTTGACAAGAGGGGGTTAAGGAGCTGCTCTGAACCCTGTTGGCTTTGCCCAACCACACCTGCAAAGTCTGCATTGGCTTGAGGAGGGACTTAAAAAGGGAAACAGAGTAGGGTTAGTGGAAGGCAGACAGTGGAGGTGAGTTGATCTACATGTTAAACTCGTGGGAAGGAACCCTGCAGGAGTTCTTGCTGCCTGAGGCCTGGCTGTATTGCTGTGACCAAGCCTACAAAGAAGGGGCCTGTGACTCTGAAGGTCAGAGACTTTATCTTTATGTTCAGTTCTTTACTTTACCCTGTGGGAAGAACGGGGGCTTGTAGGAAGTGATCCAGGGAGGCAGCCACATAGTACCTGAGGGTGCAGGACTTAGCTACCTACCACTGGGCTCTGCATCTGAGCTCAGTAGAGAGGGTGGGCCTGGACTCCCCTACCACTGCCTGAAGAGGGAAAACTATAAAAGCCTATCCCTCAGCGGGAAACCTAGTTGATGGAAGGTCCTGAAGATACAGGAATCTGGACCATGAGACCCCAAACTAAGTGGGAAGCCCTGAATCTCTTATCTGATCCTGAAGACCTCCCTGTTCTTGGACTTTTTATATGTACGCTAAAAGGGGCGGACTTGAAACCATGACCAGGCTGGAGGTCTGAGGCATTGAACAGACAGACCACAAGTCTACAAAATCATCATCAACTTACTTGCAATATGAGAGAGATCACTGAGTCAGCAACTCCCCACAAAGCTGCAGTCTAATGCTGTAATACAGGCCCCATACCACCTCCCTGCTTTTACATCAAAGGATTGGGTTAGCCCTCTTAGCTACAGCATTGCACTGGGAATTCATGTTCAACTGGTTGTCTACCACGACCCCTAATTCCTTTTCATTGTCACTGCATTCCAGGATACATGTAGTCCCCTGTTTTGCTTTCCAATCCGTAAAAGGGGGGTAATGATATTTACCTCCTTTGTAAAGCTCTTTGAGATCTATCAATAAAAGGCAATATATAAAAACTAGGTATCAGCATTGTTTGTTCTTTGTAACTAGAGATCACCAGCCCCCGCAGTATTATATATAGTTCCAAGAGCCTCCTCGTGCTGCCAGCCAGGATATCAGCAGCACATACCCCTGCCCCTCCACCAAGGCTTTGGTGCTCTGCACTCAGAGGGCATTCAAGTTATTTATTAGAGAGAGAGGTGCTATTTATGACTAGGGATAATTAGCTCTTGTATGTCATACTATTACCTTTCCCAGCAGAATTCCAGAAATAACCCCTACACCCCCACCCTGTGGTGGATACTGAATAATAGGCAATCGGGATGGGATTTACTAGGGAGATATGAAACATGCCAAATTCTCAGTCACTTTCAAGGATAATTTCTTATTTTGGATTAAAGGTAAAGAAGTTATTTTCCAGCTCCCTGTTACAATGACGGGTTTCCTAGTGTATGTCAATGAGACATAACATTTCACTCTTCATTTAAAAAAAATCATTTATTCAAATTGTCACAGTTTGAGAACGGTCCTGAGAGACTGAAGACATGGTTCAATGAAAAAGTCCTTAAAACATTTAAACCTTTCTTTTTTACTATTAAACAAAAACACAGTAAATTTGATATAACAGAAAACAATCAGTCTGCTTCTTTACCACTAGACAAAAGGATGTTTAAAAAAATCCATTGTGACTCTTTTAAAGAACTGTATGATTTTGTTTTTCATATACAGAATGGCTGAGCTTGAGAACATACAAAACCTTCGTGAAAACTTCAAGAAACATAATAAATCTTGTTTTATCCTTGGTGCATCAGGAGCAACTGGCAAAGAGTTGTTAAAAGAAATTTTGAAACAGCAATTGTTTTCTAATGTCACCATCATAGGACGTAGAAAACTGACTTTTGAAGAAGTGGCATATCAAAATGTGGTAAGTCATATGACTGGCATATTTGGTGTCAGTTTTAACACTGCTTTATCTGTTAATGTTTTCATGTTATTTTGTATCCTTGTGTTTTAGAATCAACAGGTGGTAGACTTCGAAAAACTGGATGAATATTCTGCATCATTTCAAGGTCATGATGTTGGATTCTGTTGTCTTGGTACCACAAAAGCAAAGGGAGGAGCAGTAAGCAAAAATACACAACGTTGCTTAGTTTTCACTTTGCAGAAGTATTGTACGAATCCCTTTGTTTCACTCCCTTCTTTCAATCAGCGCAGAAACAGTAGAACAGAACCGTGTTAGTCTGTAGCTCACGAAAGCTTATGCTCTAATAAAATTGTTAGTCTCTAAGGTGCCACAAGTACTCCTTTTCTTTTTTTAGTAGAACAGCTAACACTCCTTCCCCCAACCCCCACATTTAGGAAAATTTGGATTTAGTTCTGATTCTAAGTTAAAGCTTTACCACCTGGGCCCATGTTTTGTTTCACTCTTGTGAGTGATATTTGTCTGGTAAGGTAGATTTTTTTTGTACGGAAAGAAATACAGAATGTGGAAAAGATTCCTTTAAAAGAATCTACTTTGGGGACCTTTTAAACATTATGCTTCAAGTGGATACTGTCAAGTTAACTGAGCCTAGATGCAGAGCTGAAATTTCAGCATGACAAAATCATCTATTTGAAACTTTACCTCTGTAATATTTCATTTGTAACTTGTGATGCAGAATTGTCCACAATATGCACAGCCTCTGCCAAAAATGATGACTTAGAGAGCAGGTTCTACACTAGGGTCTGATCGACACTGGGGGGGATCAATTTAAGTTATGCAACTTCAGCTACGTGAATAACGTAGCTGAAGTGGACGTACTTAGATCTACTTACTGCGGTATCTTCACTGCAGTAGGTGGACTGCTGACGCTCCCCCGTCGACTCCGCCTATGCTTCTCTCTCCGGTGGAGTAGTGGAGTCGACGGGAGAGCGCTCGGTGGTTGATTTATCGCGTCTTCACTAGACACAATAAATCAACCCCTGCTGGATCAATTGCTCCAGAGGTAAGTGTAGACATTCCCTTAAATACATTTATTACACAACCAAGTAGGGGCATATATAGAATAGTCTAGACTTGCAAAATTCTACCCGCCTGTTTGTCTCAGGCAAGTAACCTTTTTCTTTGGTGGATAAGTAAACATTAGCGTTTTCCTTAGGCCTTGTCTACGCTGCCACTTTACAGTGCTGCAGCTTTCTCACTCAGAAGTGTGAAAAAAACATCCCTCTGAGCCCTGCAAGTTTCAGGGCTGTAAAGTGCCTGTCTAGACAGTGCAACAATGCCGGGAGCTGTGCTGCCAGCGCTGGTAGCTGTTCCCCTCATGGAGATGGGTTTTTTTTATAGCGCGGGGAGAGCAGCACTTTAACTTTGCTAGTGAAGACATGCCCTTAGTCATCAACATCATTGTGGTAAGGTGAAGAAAGTAGATTTTATGGGTGGGCGAGGCTGAATTAGTCAATAGATAGCGTGTTCGTAATGCCACCCTGGCTCATCCTCTTCTGACTTCAAAGAAGAAATGTTCATGACCATTATACAAACAAATGGGCCATCAGAATGTACCAGGCTTTCCAATTGTTGAACATGGAGTATGTCATTCAGCAGTTAGTTAACTGTGTTGCCATTTATTATACTGTAACTAGAAGTTTGTTTTTTTGCTGTGGCTGTTTCATTCTGCCTGGCTGTCGACTCAACAAGAATGCACTATTGTATGGGGCAGGGAAGGCAAAAGAAAGGCGTAGGAACTTTACTATTACTGTTTGGTTTTAAATGGAAGATTAGAAAGTAGAGGATCCAGTAGAAATCTTCATGGAGATCCTAAATCTATGGAGCTTATTGTGCCAAAGATTTGATCATATATAAAGTGTATGTTAAGTCTTTGAAAATTGATAGCCAGTTAAATGCAACATTAAAGACAACAGGCATTTTTGGCTGTTGAGGTTTTGCTCTCAATTAAAATGCCACATGTTGGAGGTGGAGGGAGGAAAGGAGAAAACCCATCTGAATTTAGCAGCTTAGAAAAACGAATGTTTATAATCAGTTTGAGAACTCAGTGGATTTGTGAAATCATTTGGGATTAACAGGCTATTGATTGCTAATAAAACAATATTTAGCTTTGTCCAGGGAACAGCAGTGGAAAAAGGTGTGGGCACCTTGTCAAACAGGACCCATTGAGGAGAGATGATGGGTTAAGTGTGGGGGTCTGAGTGGGTGCCAGTTCTTCAAGGAGAAGTTGTCAGTTGTTAGTAAGGCTTGTGAAAGGAAGGACGCCAGCGTCTGATGGCTGGGGTAGTATTGATGCAAGTTAGCTGACTAATCAGATTGAAAAAGTCCCATGGTATTTATGTCACTTTAATTTTCATCAAACAATTGGAGACGACAGCACTCTATTAAGGAGAGGTTGATCCAGAACTAAAGCTAAATAAATTAGGGTCTCAGTTTAATCAAATTATCCCTTTACTGGCCTTGGATTAACTGAGAGAGACAGCGTCGGTCTAGGGACTCCTGATTGGCTAATTTTTTTTAAGAAGCTGATACAAAGAATGAGAGATTTAAAGCAGACGGCTACTACTCGAAATACCCCAAACAAGCCCTTTCAAAAAAAAAGTTAGAATTAATATTTATCAGCAGCATTTGCAGTTTTATTGAGGGAAGCTTCTATTTTTTATTAGTTTTGTAAGGCAAAAATCTCCATTTAGTCTGAAGGGCTGAGGTTTTGTCACATTTACAAAACAAGACACTGAAAGTGTACCCAGAAATCTAAGAAATATCCTAATGCTACTATGTAATGTTCTGAGGCAGTTTCTCTTTTCTCCTAACTGGTGAATGACTTGTAGATGCCTTGTTTATCTGCTTTTAAAATCTTCTAATTAAACAAAGATAACATTTAGGAATTTACTTAACTGTGGGTTAAATAACTTAAATATTTGGCTACTTTTTGTTTTCTATGTGCTTTTAAATTCTACATTGGGACAGATACAGCCAACCTGTGCTTGCAGGAGTAGACCCTATAATGTTACTTCAGTAGGAATTTAGGGCACTCCATATTTCTCAGGATGCACTCAGGATCTTTCAAGATTGGGCCGTTAATGAAGGAATCTGGCGTCTACAAAAGTGTGCTTTTCAAAGATTCTGCTCAACTGCAGAAATAAGACAACCAACCTTTGAATTACTGACTTAAATAGGACTGGAAGGGAGCTCTTGAGTCATCAAATCCAGACCCCTGCTATTGCGGGCAACCTCTTGGTAATAAATTTATTAAGAGCGATCTTAAAACTACCTAGTTGCCCCCTCCCCCCGCCCCTACACCTGTTGGGCGGATGTTTCAGAACCTCATTCTTCTAATGGTTAGAAACCATTTACCCATCCTTAGCTTAGTTAAGTATGAAATGCTTTTCTAAAATGAAGTACCATGGAATTTCTCTTCAGTCTTTGTTTGAAAAATGAAAGAGATCTGGAAGAAAACGGAGAATCACTGGATTTTATCCCACTTATAGTTTTGCTTTCCCCCACCCCACACACTTTCCCTCTTCTGTAGATTCTTCTGACCTGGCTCTAATTCAAATAATTTTTTATCCTAGGATGGATTTGTTCGCGTTGATCAAGATTATGTTTGCATGTCAGCAGAGTCGGCAAAAGCTGGTGGTTGTAAACACTTCCTCTTGGTATCTAGCAATGGAGCTGATAAGCACAGTATTTTTTTATTTTAAAAATCAAGGTTGATCTAAATCTTATAATAATAATCTGGAGAAATTTCTGTACGGCTTAAGTGTGTAAAGTCAAAATTTCCCAGTGAATTGTTTAAGCAGTTATCCAAAAAGAGGGGGAGGTTAACCAGGAATAAAACTAAGCAAAGAAAAATTGGAGAAGATTCTTAGACAGCTCGAGCGATTTGAGAAATTTAAAACTAGATTGAAAAAAAAAACACTAGAAAATTTACTATCAGAGATAATCCTGCACTGGCAGATGGATGGACTAGATAAAGGGCCAGATTTTCAAGGTATTTAGATGTCTAAAGTTGCGGATAGGTGCTTCTGAAAATCCCACTAGGGATGGGATTCCCAAAGGTAACTATGCACCTAACTCCCATTGATTTCAATGTCAGTTAGGTGCCTAAAAACCTTTGTAATCCATCCTACGTGCCGAACCTGGTTAGGTGCCTAAATATCTTTGAACATTTGGCCCAAGTTCTTTTTCATTTCTAATTTCTATGTTTTTTTACAATTCAACTACATTGTTGCTATCTAGGGCTTCTCAGGATTCAGTTCTGTCCTCTTATGTGAATAAAATTCCCACTGCCTTCCAGAAAAGTTACATCTGTGTAACAGAGGACAGAATTGGCCCAGTGGGGCCATGTTTTCAAGTGCTCAGCACCCACAATTTGGATCAGATTTTTAAAATATCTCAGCTTCCATTTATGCACCTAAATAAGGTTCATACTTTCCAAAGTGCACAGTGCCTACTAACTCCTATTCTGACATTTATGGTCTGGTTTTCAAAAAGAAAGTCTGGCCCCAACAGTGGGTACTGAGCTCCCTTGAAAATCTGGCCCTATCTGTTTTATCTGAAGTTCAACCTGTTAACTCATGTAAAAACTACAACCTGCCTTGTCAGCACTCAGATTTTACCTTGAGTTAATTAATTCCAGTTAGGTAACTCAAGTTAAGAACTTTTTGTGTGTGTGAAGACAAGGCCTAAGATAAACACGGAAGATTAAATACTGGTCTTATTGACATCAATGGGAGAACTTCCGCTGACTTCAAAAGGGCCAGGATTTCAGAGAGGAAAGAGAGAGAGATTCTTCATGCCTCTTGTTTTCCTGAGTGTCTTAATAACAATATATCTCCAGAGAAGCTCCTTCAATCAAAATATATTTTCACAGAATCATACATCTTACAAATGGAAAATCCTATTAGGTTACTTATTCATCCCCCTCACCAATGCTGCATTGTTCCCCAGCATGTTTACTAGTGGTTTGAGCTGACTTTGCTTTGCAGAGGTTCATTTTGGAACTAATTCCTACAGGTAAGTTACCACCGTATATGTTTTTTAATGCTACCATTTACAGCTACTTCAGTTTGAACTGAGTTGAAACTCAAGCGTGCGGTAGTGTAATGGTGCAAGTCACCTGAGGCCATCCCAGTTCTTCCTAAATGCCTAGTATTTCTTAGGGGTTGCCTCATTCAATTGCTCCAGGGTAGATATAGTTCTCTCAGATGTCCTCTCTCAGAAGAAGTCAGAAATCTGTCTTCACTTCCAAGTGTGCCTGAGTGCCTCAGTGATTTTGACCTCAAAACAATCTACAGCCCTGTCTACACTGGGGATTTGTCCCAGTTATAGCCATTGATGTAACTGCATTGGTGCAAACCTCTTGTGTAGGTAGGCAATGTTGCTATTGGCACCAGTGGTGCCAACCCCTGCTTGAAACGGAGGCAAGTTCCGCTGGCGCAACTAGGTGGGACCCAGTGCTCGTCGCCAATGGCTGTAACTGGAGAAAACCCCCTGTGCAGACAAAGACTAAATACTTAAGTTTTAATCAAAAGCAAGAGAGAAAACCTTCTTAAAGTGATGGGTCGACAGATCATATCTGGTCTTATACTCAGTAAGAGTTTAGCGAGGTGGGCATAATTATAATGAGCAACATCTTACATTTATGAAAAATGCATCCTTTAGTGTTAATGTCCCCATACCCTCTGTCTCTCTTCCTGAGCAACCTGTCAGCAAGAAGCCTCTCTCCTCAGATAGTCTCTCCATCCTCACAGCCCTATTGTAATTTTCAGTTTCTTTGAGGTTTTTGCAATCAGAAAAGGAGGACTTGTGGCACCTTAGAGACTAACCAATTTATTTGAGCATAAGCTTTCGTGAGCTACAGCTCACTTCATTGGATGCAGTGAGCTGTAGCTCACGAAAGCTTATGCTCAAATAAATTGGTTAGTCTCTAAGGTGCCACATGGTTGTTATCCTGAAACTTGAGGTTTTTGTGCTTATCACATCACCCAGTCAAGAACCAGAGCAGAGCCACTTTCTGGGCTACCTAAGAAGTGTAGCTGCAGTAGGTGGCCTGATTGGCTTTGCCACCTGATCAGCTGGAAGGATCAGCTGACCGGCTCTTAAGTCCAGTAGCAGCTGCAATTCAGTGGCTGCTCCAACCATCTGCCCACAACTGTGGTAGCTTCTGTTTGTTCCCAGACTTGCCTGACTTCAGCTCTGACCCTTGGCTCTAATTCCTGGCTACTGACTCCTGCTCTGACCATTGGCCCTGACCACCCATGTCCTGGTCAAATGCACCCACTCAAAGTGGTGTGCCAAGTATTTCTGCACACTGGATATTACTGTCTATCTCATGTCCATTGAATTTTTTTTTTCCAAAATCACTCACTTTGTTTTTCCCATGTTGCTTTTAAAAGTTAGTTTGCCTAAAGGTGTATACAGATAATGACTGATGATTGTAATCAGCAGATGTTTTCTGTCCCTGAATGAATGTGCTAACCTTGAAAACAGGTTATTGTCTGCCTTACATCTGAGGTTACAGAGACAAGGCTCATAAAATTTTTATAATTTTTTCTACTCAATAAATTGATCCTATGTAAATATGAATGATTGACATATTAATTCCAATCTACCACATTCTTCTTCCAAAAGTTATAGAAATCCTACTCTCCCTTCTCACAAGTGTTAACAAAAAGGAAGATAATTTTGATTGGTCTTTTTTATAACAACCATGGTTCATACCTGTATGGTACACGAGTGGGAGTCAAGAGATCTGGGTGTTACTCCTAGCTCTGCCATTGATTACCTGTATTTCCTTGGCACATCAGTTAACCTCTCTGTTCTGCAGTCTGTAAAATGGGCATAGTTATAGTTGCTCATCTTTGTGAGGTACCTGGATCTCTGAATGAAAAATGCTATGTAACTGAGATCTTCAGAGACTGAAAACTGTTGATAGGTCCCTCCATAAGCTTTCCCACAGGGGAGCTCAGGCATAAGAACATAGGAACTACCATACTTGATCTAACAAGTAATCCATCTAATACAGTATCTCATCTCCAGCACTAGCCAGTACTAGATGCTTCAGAGGAAGATGAAGGAAATCCCTTAATACACAATTATGGACTAACTTGCCCAGTGGAGAAATTCTTACTAACTTAGGTCTATTAGTGGTTGGCTTATACCCTGAAGCATGAGAGCGTTTAAATTTTGTATACACTTTTATCCTGTATAACGTAGTTGTGGATGTTCTAATTTTTCATAGAAATGTCGAATCCTTTCTTGAATCTTACTAAATTATTACTTTTCAGTTGTATGTTGTAGCAATGAGCTCCACAGGTTAATTACGTGATTGCAATTTGATTACATTTATTTTGTGCAAAAACAGAACAGATTCCAAACAAGAAATATATATATACTTGCTGTTTTAAAAGGGCCAATTTCACAAAGCTGAAAGCAATTATAAGCCAAATCAGCTAAGAGAGAATTTAAACAGGAAAATTTGAATGATAATTGGGAACAGTATAAGAATATTTTACTAGATGCCCAAAAAGCCAAAATCCAAAAAGACTACAATGGTTTAAAAAACAAACAAACAAAAAAACCAGCCGGGGGAAGTGAAAGAAGCTATAATATATCGCTTGGAAAGATTAGATTTTTATTGGTAAATGTTGATAAACATCAACACACACAACAATGAAAAAGTATTTCCATCAATAATAGAAAATTACAGAAAAGCAAAGTAAGAAATATGTTGCTTGAGAACTTATTAGAGTTTGATTTAAGGCTAAAATTTTTACACATAATATTTGCAGTTTCTCTTTTAACGGGTTATAAAGCTTTACCTTTTTGAATCTGTGTCTAATATCCTTTAATTATTATCTAACACTCCCCCCCCATAATTTCCTGCAACTGTGAAAATTTAAATAAATAAAAATAGGGAAGAAATGCTTAAAACCCATAATTCTGCACACTGAAAATTTAAATAAAAGTTTTAAAAAGCTTAAAAATAAATCTTGAAATTTTTGAAACCCATTAAAATTACAAAAGAAACAAAAACAAATTCTGCCAAGTCTATATATACTTATATAAAAACAAATAGAAAAAAAGGGGAAGTTGATAGTGAATACAAATTAGGAATTACAGAAAATTGATAAGGGAAACAAAAGGATGCAAGGAGAAATCTCTGGCCAGCAGAATTAAGGAGAAGAAGGACTGTGCTAAAAAGTATACTAGGAACAAAGGAAATCCTACCACTGGTATTTGTCTATTTCTAGCTGGAAATGGTAGAATTGTTGTTAATAATGCAAAAAAGGCACAAGTGTTGAATAAATACTTTTATTCTGTGTTTGAGAAAAAGCCAGATGATTTATTCATATTATATGATGATGATCAACTACTTTCCATTCTAACAATAACTCAGGAGAAGATACACTGCAGCTACTGAAGTTAGCTACAGGTATTTTAAAATCAGTACGTCCAGATAACTTGCATCCAAAAACTTTAAAAAGCTGGCTGAGGAGCTTTCTTTAATATTAATGTTAATTTTCAGTAGGTCTTGCAATACTAGAGAAGTTCCAGAGGACTAGAAGAAAACTAATGTTACGCTAATATTTAAACAGGTGTGACAGAGTGCTGAGATCTGACAGGGTGGGTCAGCACTCTGATCACTGTAGCCTCGGGTTAGTTCTGCCAATAACAGCTGATTGGATAATTAGCTAATCAGAAGGTGAGGCTGAGGAGGTAAGGAACTAATTAGCCCTTAGATGAACAACCTGATAAAAAGACAGGAAGGAAGTGTTATGAGGGAGGATAGGGCTATCTGAGACTGGAATGAAGGAACTTCTAACATAGAGTGAGACAGAGAGTGACTGACCAATCTATTTTCCTGCTAGGGCCCTAGCAAAGAAGTGTTGAAAGAGGTAAAGGTTAAAATGGCGATGTTGTACTGTACTGAGTTAGTGTTTGGATTTAGAATAAAATACAGCCTGCACACAAAGTGAAAGTGGGTCTGAGCAGTTCTGGGGCATCAGAGGATGGGGAGAGAGCATCTCCCCATCACAAGAAGGTAAGCAGGATGATTTGGGCAACTATAGGCTTGCAGCCTGCCATCAATTCCAGGCAGATTAAGGGAATGGCCAATACAGGACTTGACTGATGAAGAATTAAAGGAGAGTAATATAATTAATGCCAATCAACATAGCTTTATGAAAATAGTCATCAAACAAACTTGATATGTTTGTTATAGGATTAAAAATTTGGTTGATAAAGGTAATAGTGTTAACATATTATACTCCTGTTCTGTACAGCATTTGACATAGTGCCACAGAATATTTTGATTAAGAACAAGAACAATACAAAATCAAAATGGTCTTAAAATGTAATTGTAGTGGGGTCCCCGAGGGATTGGATCTTGGCCCTATGCTATTTAACATTTTCATCAATGACCTGGAAGAAAATAAAAATAAAATCATTACTGACAAAGAGGACAGGTAACACAAAGATTGGGGGAGTGGTCACTGATTTAGAACTACCTGAATTGGTTGGTAAACTGGGTGCAAGCAAACAATGCATATTTCAATATGGACAATTATGAAGTCATACATATAGGAACAATGACTGCAGGCCACACTTCGAGGCTGGGGGACTCTATCCAGAGAAGCAATGACTCTGAAAAGACTTTGGGATCTTGATGGATAATCAGTTGTACGTGCACTCCCAGTGTGATGCTGTGGCCAAAAGTGCTAAGGCAATCTTTGGCTGTCTAAACATAGGAATATTGATCTGGAGTAGACAGGTTATATTACCTCTGTATTGGTACTGGTGTGACTGCTACTGGAATGCTGTGTCCAGTTCTGGTATCAAGAATTCAAGAAGGATATTAATAAACTAAAGAGCATTCAGAGGATAGCCCTAAGAATGATAAAGGATTGGAAAACATGCCTTATGGGTAGGGCCATTTTGGTCAGTTTCACAGTCATAGGATTTAAAAAATAATAAATTTTACGATTTCAGCTATTTAAATCTGAAATTTCACGGTGTTGTAATTGTAGAGGTCTTGACCCAAAAAGGAGTCATGGGGGGTTGCAAGGTTATTGTAGGGGGGTTGCGGTACTGCTACCCTTATCTCTCCGCTGCTGCTGGTGGCGGCGCTGCCTTCAGAGCTGGGCAGCTGAGAGCAGCGGCTGCAGGCCGGAAGACCCGTTCCGAAGGCTGAGCCACCACCAGCAGCAGTGCAGAAGTAAGGAAGGTATGGTATGGTATTGCCACCCTTACTTCCATGTTGCTGGCTTCAGAGCTGGGCCCTCAGTCAGCAGCCACTCATCTACAGCTGCCCAGCTCTGAAGGCAGTACCGCTGCCAGCAGCAGCGCAGAAGTACGGGTAGTAGTGGAGGGTGAAAATAGTTGGGTAGGGGGAAAGGAGGAGTGGGTAACAGTGATATATTTTGCTATAGGCTAACTGCATGTGCAATTTTGTGTATATAATTTGTTTCGTTGGGTTTTTTGTAATTGTCAGGAGACAAAAAAGCAGATCAGTAGTAGTAACCTATGGAGTATAACACAAAAGTCCTAGAAGTTTTTTGCTGTCAAAGTTGAAGAATCTTTATCAAGATAGTATTGACAATACTTTAAGCATGCTAGAATGATGAGCAGTAACTTTGGGGTCCTTGTTTCATGTCCTGGATTTTGTTTTTTTAGGGTGAAGCAGAAGTTAAAATTGAAGAACTTAACTTCGATCACTGCACTATATTTAAACCTGCGTAAGTGATTAAGTGTGAGTGGAAACTGTGTTTGCTGTCTATTTATCATCTCCTCTTAATCGGTCTTTTTCTCTCTCTCTCTCTCTCTTTTTTTTTTTTTAAAGATTGATTTTATGTGACAGAGAAGAGTCACGTCCATTAGAATGGTGTGCTAGAAAAATTCTGGGTTGCCTCTCTCATGCGATGTCTATTACTGCACTTTCTGTGCCCGTGTCCACATTAGCAAGAGCTATGGTGAACAATGCAGTAATCCCGAGTGACAAGAAGGTGGAGCTGTTAGAGAACAAGGATATCCACAGGATTGGAAACCAAGATGAAACAAAGACCAGCTAACTGGTGTGATGTGATCAGATATTGTGCACTTCTGTCCCTCTCTAGCATCATCACCAATTCCTATTTCAGGATCTGGAAAAAGCTTGCAATGCAGTAAAATTTTCTTAAACATTTGTGGTTTCTTCCTCCTGCCCCAGGATTATGAAATAGTAATCCATTACATTGTAAATCGTGCTGTACCATGCAAATCCTTTTATAAGGATTATGAGATTGTGACAATGATAGGAGTCGTTTTTCAAGATGTATTGAATGAAAATTATACTTTTGCTGCAGAATTTTTTAGTATGATTTTCATCCAGCATATTACATGCATTGATCCAAATGAACAGGTGCCTTACATTTATTAAATAGTATTTTAATATATGTAATAAGAAAAAAAGGTTTCAGTTACAAGACTGTGTGGCACATTCAGTCCGTTATTCTCAGAACTGAACATTAGCAAAGGGTGTGCAACGGAGCAAAGACTATGCAATCAGTGACCCTTTGCCCCTTCAGTGGGAGAGAATTTCAGTATAACACAAAGAAGCTGCTGTTACTAGTTTTGCTGCTGTCAGCCAGGGACCGTTTAGAGAATGGTTGCTGTCGAATCTGTGCCAGTAATTATGTTATTGACTAAGTGTAGAGGGAAAAATAATTTATCTAATGATTTTAAGTCATTTGTTTATTGCAACTAAGCCTTGCTGCATAAAGTTGGAACCATTTGGCTTGCCAAGGGTTCTTGTGTAGATTAATTAACAAGAAAATATATATTTGTGCAAGGAGTTCATACTGTTTCCTAGTCTTAGGGATTCCTTATTATACATTATATTGGAGAAACCCTATAGAAAAAAATCTTTATCAGTAACAATGGTTGATTTTGATAAACAATGTTTGAAGAGTCGCTATTAATCTGATATACCTCAAAATTTTTATAATCAGAGATGGGTCCAAAGGAGACCTTCTAAAATAATCAACCCCCTTCAAACTTCACTGGGGTTGTGTTTTTGATGTTAAATTAAAATTTCCAGATTCAAACCTATGGTTTTGGTACTGGGTCAGATCTAAAACTTAAGAGGCCAATGTTCTGGTTTCAATGTCACAAAATCCTCTGACTTCTTCACAGGTGATTTTTAACCCAAGATAGTAGAAATTTAGAGTGACTTTTGTGATTCTGGGGCTGAGTAATTTGAACAAAAAGCCTACTCAGAATCTAATCTGGATCCAAATGTGGGTTTTTTTTTTTAAATCTAATCTATCCATGTATAAACTGTTCTCAGTCACTGCTATTGTATTTGAGCCCCTTCTTTGCTTAAAATAGGAGTAGGAAAGAGAAGAAGAAAGCCAGATTTTGGAGGGGATACCACAATTCCCTGGGTCAGATTCTGTTCTCAGTTACACCCCTGTAGATCTAGCATAATGCCACTGAGAGCAGTGGAGTTGCTCTGGATTTACTGTGCTGTAACTGAGATCAGTATCTGACTGGGACGCAATGTGCTGCTAATTAGAATTTGGGCCACTAGCTCAAATACTTGAATCACAAAAAGTAGTGCTGGTGTTCCCTCTGCTGGTTGTACAATGGCAAATAACTAATAAGCACTGTCCCCAGGGCACTTGACATCTATAATTATGCTGATAACAGTCATCACCCAACATCTTTGCTATCTCAAATGAATTGTTTCTGAAACAAACATGATGCATTCTAGTTTGATTTGAAAGATTAGATAGGAGTCGCTGGGAAGGGAAACCATGTTTGTCGGTGGAATACAAATAGGGGAAAGACCAGAATTAGCAGAAAAGAATTTGCTTTGACCTTCTCAGAGGGTACTACAACTACCCCAGTTATACAAGAATTAAAGGAAATTAAAAGGAAATACATGACCATATCTTTCTACATGAAAACCAAAGCCCTAAACCTGCATTAGTTTATACTGGGCTTGAACCTGTTTATATGTCACACCAAAAAATCAGTATGGATCCCTCTGGAGCTGTGCCAGTTTAACCAGGTTACAGTGCTTAGCCGACATTACCAGTGCCGGAGGGGTGCTCAGCAAGTGCTTATTGTTGCACATATGAGGATGTGTCACAGTCAAACAGCATAGCTGGATTTAAAGGGGAGGCCAGATAATTTCATGGACCATATTAATATTGATAATTATGCAAACTAAATGGAGAAATCAACTCAGGTGCTGGAGGGCATACACTGATCACTTCAGGGGGCAGGAAAGATTCCAGCTCCTCCACCTCCCCTCTGTATACTTCATTGTACAATTAGAGCTTGATCCAATTCCTATTCAAATCAATGGAAAGACTCCAGTTAGCTTCACTGGGAGATGGATTGATTTTCAGTCAGGCACAGAGTCAATCAGAATAGTAGACTTGTTGGCCATTGGTCTGACCTGGTATGACACAGCTTATTTTCCTTGATGGTGGCCCTCACACTTTACATCCATCAGTATTTAATGTTGAAAATTAAAATAATTTTGAAAGCTATTGTACCTTTTGAATGAAAATGAAGGATCTTTGTTACAATAAATAGTAAAAAGCAGGTGCCAAACTTTGAAACAGATGATTTTTCTGCCTTTTTAGATATTTAATTTCTTTTTAACTAGTCACACTGACACTCATCTTTGATAAGAAAGGGAGAATCACTTTGCTTTAATTTCCTTTAAGAAATAATTTAAATCCAAAAATGGTAACTAGCAATATGTTAAGTGCCTGATTGTATTATTCTCTCTAAATTCTTAGCAATAAGATAAGTAGTAATAGTAATAATTACTACCTCAGCTTGTGTAAACTGGAGTAGTTCCATTGACTTCAATGATGCTATATTGATTTACATCAGCTGAGGACCTGGTCCTTTATCTCCCTCTTTCTCTGTCACAGATCTACATACATATGTATTTGATGCCATAAATTTACACAATGCTTTTCAAACATATAGTAAGATGCAATCTGTGTCCCAAGCAGTTTACAATCCACATATACACGTGATATATACAGTCAACTGAGGCAAGGATTGTTTGCAAAGCACCGTGTATGTATATATCAGCATTTGAGTAGTTTGTATGGACTTGAGAAGGGCACTGCAGATGTCAAAGAGGCCAGAGAAGAGGAGTTTTCTGGAATCAAGACAATAATCAAGTAAAGAAAAATCTATAGCTAGGCGGAGCAGTCAATCATAGAATAGCTAAAATGGCAAATACCAAAAATGATATTAATAGATAATGGCTATTTTAGCGATCACTTATAATTCTTAATCTCCTTGATTTTGTTTTTTTGCATTATTTCCCAGTCACATGCTAACCGGTACCTGTCCCTTATACTAGTTGCCTTGTACTACTATAAAAAGTAATGGTATGCAATTCTTACGCAACAAAAAGGCAAAGAACTGTATGGCCATTGATGTATATTACAGACTAATAAATATACTTGATTCCATTATTAATATTGTTGTTACTACTGTCTCCAAGTCTTAAAAAGAGGCTATGTAAAGTAATGTTTTATGATACCTAATAACAGACACTGCATACTGTAAAATCAATATAAATTAAATTGTATTGTTTAATAATTAGTACTAAAGTCCTGTGCCTAAACATGTTTTCTGCTTATCAAATATTTGTTAAAATATATTTAAAATGTTACTAAAAATGGCAGGTGCTGCATAATTTTGATGTTAGGGAGAGTGCATGTTACATTTTCTTTCTTGATTTTTGTTTTGTTTTAAATGGAATCAGGTCCTAATTTAGGACATGTATTATTTTTCTTAAACAAATTTTTCTAGTGCAGGTTTGGCTCTTATATTGTACTTGTTTTTCCTCTCATTCCCCACAAGGTGGAATCATCAGCTTTCTGGGCCTGGTAAACATACAGATGAAAACATTTAGTAATAGCATGTTGCATTTTAAATGTAAATAGTATAGCACCCGCAAAAGCTCAAAAATCATGAGTAAGTCACCTCCCATCCCCCAATAATGAGATTTAATTCAAAAGATGTGGGTCTTTTTAATCTGGCTTCTGATTTTTGGACTCTTGGGCGGGGGGAACTCTCCAGAGATATAGAGTAAGGGAATTTTTAGCCCTGGCTTCAGGAGCTCTCACTGAGATCAAATTATAAAGATCTGTATAAAATGCTCCATGATAGTGAGTAGCTTCCCTTTCCCCTTCTCCTGAAACCCTAAAATTTTAATTATTTGCCCCCATGTTCTACATCTGCTGTCCCCTGAGTCCATCAATTATACAACCTCCTAGCCCCACACCTGTACCTTACCCCTCAGCACGGCGCCAGCTTCCAGTTGTCCTGGGGGGGTGCTCAACCCCCTCTCGGTCCCAGACCCCACCCCCACTCCACCCCATCCTGCCCCAGCCCTGCTTCTTTCTGCCCCCTCCCCGTGTTGCCTCCTCCCTCCCAGTGCCTCCTGCACTCTGTGGAACAGCTGATCACAGTGGGTAAGAGGCAGTTGGAGGAGGAAGAGTTGATCAGCCCAGCTACGGGCAGGCAGGAGCCACTGAGGGGAGCTTGGCTGCTGGGGGAGGGGGAGAACACAATTTAAAGGTTTTAGCTGTTGCCAGAACAGTTCAAGTCACACACATACCCCTCAGGTAGGGCCCCACTTACCCTCAATTTCCCCTCCTGGAAACCAGAGGCACCCACTAATTTTTGTCCACGGGTGCTCCAGCCCTGGACACCCATGGATTCGGTACCTATGCCCCTCAGTGCATCTCTGCAGCTCCAGGGGTTCTTCACTTCCTTCTCCCAGGTCTGGGGAGCAGCTCTAAGGGTTGTTTAGCTTAGTGGGGCAGCTTGTGACATTGAGGCTCCTTTGCAGAAGGTTCCTCTGCTCAGAGGTGATGTGTGTGTGGGGGTGCATATCAGGTCACAATCCCCCCTCCCTCCAAATTTCTGCCAGGGTTTGCCATCCCCATTCAGTCACCTGGTGCGACTGCCCCCCTTCCCTGCTTCGCAGCTGTCAAGAGACAGTGAGCTCCAAGCTATGCCTTATGGGGAGAGGCCTCCGGTTTCC